TGTTCTCCAACACATGTCTGGTGCCTAAGAACTGGAAACTGGAGCCACTCACTTTGCAGACTAAAGCCATGTGGGGCAACTTTGCCTGGCAGCAGTGCCAGATTTAGGGTGTTGTGACTGGTCTCCCTGCACAGGGTGCCAAACCAAGGGGGCAAAAAATCGAGAAAATCCATAATTGAGAAGGTCCATTTGGGGGCACCAAACTTCAGACTTGCACAGGGAGCCATATTACATACCAAAGTCCATCCCTGCCGGCAGCACAGAGCCCAGAGAACAGCAAAGTTGGGCAGAGTCCCACCTCCATGTTAGAGCTCTCACTGGATTCCAAGAGAGGAACGCCTCCCTTGTGGTCCTTGTAAGAGAGGGAGGGGGCAGAAGCTTTAAAAGGCCTCTCCTATGAGGGTTCATGGCCATTTTGCCCTGGAAGCTTTCCTCCCCACCATCACCAAGGAGTTAAAGCCTTCACTAAGCAACTTAGGTAGCTTGTTGACAGGGCAGGAAATAACTTTTTCCTCTCAATCTTAATTTGCACAAGGTTGGGGGGGTTGTCTATATATTTGCTTCAGTGAAATTATGGTTTACATTTGCTAGGCATTGATAACATTTGTTTGAAGGAGCAGAAAAGCTTTTTACTGTATGTGACAAGAGCCACAAGAGTGCTCCTAGCCCAGAGATGGAAAGAAGAAGGAGTTCCTACCAGAGAGGACTGGCAAACCAAACTGTTGGATTACGTCAAAATGACAAAACTGACTGGAAAGTTTTGGCTTGATTTTCTACCCCACACTGAGGATGGATCTACACACGGGGGGGGGGGGGGCTATAAATAAGTCAAAAGTTAAATCGTTATAGCAAAAGAAAAAAATGTTATGTAAAAATCACATAGAAATTTTTTTGCTCTCTGGCACCATCTAGTGTTGCATGTTTATAACGCATTCAAAGTGTTGCTTTTTTTACTAATGTAGCTGAGTCTCCAGTGTCCTGTCCCTATTATTCTGCTGCTCCCATGGGTCACTTACCAGGGCAAATCACTATCTATATTTCAACCCTGGGATGATTGGGGCTACCTTTAAGACATCTTGTTGGTGTTAACACACATATATCAATGTTGTCTTCATTTTTCATTCCCATCCTTTTGGTCACCTGAAGTTAAATCTTTTGCAGGGGAGAGGGGGAGAAGGGGAGTAATGATTTGTCAGCCTGGTGCTTGTGCCCATAAATATTTGCACGTGGATACTAAGCCACTACATAGTGCCTCATCGATCATTTCACCTGCTGCCACTAGTGATATTCAGTTTGAGTTGTTGACCACATATCATAGTACAATGGTCTTTTTTAAAGTGTATCTTTAGTCTAAAGAACAAACATTCTCTTGAATCAGGACAGGACTGGCTGTTGCAGTATATATTAATATAGATTGATTGTTGCACCTATATCCCACCTTTCCTATGAGGAGTTCATGGTCCCCCTTCCTTGTGACTTAGGCTAGGCTGAGAGATTGACTTGGCCAAATGTCACCTACTGAGTTTCAATGCAAGTGGAGATAATAATAATAATAATAATAATAATAATAATAATAATTTATTTATATCCTGACCTCCTCAGCCAAAGCTGGGCTCAGAGCAGCTAACAACAATAAAAGTAACACAGTTTATATAAAATCACAATCAATAAATTGAAATACAATCTAAAATCAATTTATTCTAAAATCAATTCATCAAATTAATGGCAACCATTGGGCTAGCATTCTATGAGGATTACCAAAGGAGGGGGTCAGACTGTGCCTTGGCCAAAGGCCTGGTGGAACAGCTCTGTCTTGCAGTCCCTGCGGAAAGATGTCAAGTCCCGCAGGGCCCTAGTCTCTTGTGACAGAGCGTTCCACCAGATTGGAGCCACAGCCGAAAAAGCCCTGGCTCTAGTTGAAGCCAGCCTAACCTCTCTGTGGCCTGGGACCTTCAGGATGTTTTTGTTTGAAGACTGTAAGTTCCTCTGTGGGACATACCAGGAGAGGCAGTCCCGTAGGTGCAAGGGTCCTAGGCCGTATAGGGCTTTAAATGTTAAAAGCAGTACCTTAAACCTGATCCTGTACTCCACCGGGAGCCAGTGCAGCTGGTATAGCACAGGGTGAATTTGATCCCATGGCGAGGACCCCGTAAGGAGTCTAGCCGTGCCATTCTGCACCCGCTGGAGTTTCTGGGTCAGTCTCAAGGGCAGCCCCACGTAGAGTGAGTTACAATAATCAAGTCTGGAGGTGACCGTCGCGTGGATCACAGTGGCTAGGTCAAGTCTGGGTCTCTCCAGTCATAGGGCAGAGTTCTAAGCACTAAACCATGTTGACTATAGAACCAGATGGAAAATAGCCACCGTGCAACAGTGGACGGTGGGCCTCAATCGGGGGCTGGACTGAGGAGGAATGTTGGGAACTGTCCCCCCCCCTTTTCTTGCACCTTCCCGAGAAGCAGAGGACAGTATAGATTTAGAACAGTGGCTTGCAGAAGGTCATAGGTCGGAGGTGGCAGAGAGGAGAAGTTAGGAAATATTGGGAGAGCAGCAGGAAGAAGACGACGAGGGGAGAGACGGCTAACAGACTCAGTGTTTCTTGAAAGCATTCCTGACCACCCTCTCCCAGGACCAGGTGTGCCTTGAGAGCAGCAGAATAGAAATCTCAAAGGCAGAAATCACAGATCAGCCGGTGGAGGGGTGACGTAGAATAGGAGGGACTGAGGGGGTGGGACTTTACTTGAAGCAATGCCCTTATCTAAGAGAGACCACATTCCTTCATCTCTCTCTCTCTGTGAATATTAAATAAACTCCTTGGTAAGAACCCTTCTTGTTTTTCTGCTTCTTGGCATCCCACCGTGGTAGGGATAGGATTCCCTGAAGCCTCGACAGCATCTCAGGCAGTGGTCTGCGCCACACAAATCTATGTACATTGACTCCCTATGTTCAATGGATTTTCCTCCTTGCCTTAGCATTGCATCCTTGGAGTGAGAACAGGGAAGGAAAGACATGCCCCTGCTTTCATCTGTTAGCAACTGAAGAATATCAATGGCCCCAGCTCCAGCACATTGAAACACATGCATACAAACAAACAAATGCCTGGATGGTGTCACTCCCTTCTAGTTTGCTACACATATTTTGGAAATGCCAATTACAACTGTGGGTTTTCCTAAAACAGCCGTCAGTCTTTGGAATTAATGTATCCCATGTAGCTGAATAGATTAAGGCTTTTCCTGGGCCTAATTGCTCCTAAGTGTTCAGGTCCTGTGATCACAGAGAATACATAAAACTGCCCAAGAATGTCGATTCTTAGCCATCTCAGTGTGCTGGGAGATTTTCCAGCCAAGGGGGATGAATTAAACAATTTAAAAAGAAGTGCTTTGCCCTGTTTGCGATAGCAGAGAGAATGAGAAGAAATGGATGTTAATGAAGTTTTCGGATGGGCATAAGAATTCCTCTAACACCCAGAGGCTTGAGAAAACGCCAACATAAACCAGAGCATCTGTCTTTCTGAAGAGCCAGTTGATGAAGAGAAACATTGCCAGTGCTTAGTCAGGCTTTTCTCACAAACTCTAAGACTGATGCAGAAGTTTGCCGGTGAGAACTTTCAGCTTGACGCCCTCTCTGCTAAGGATGGAGGGGTAGTTAATTCAGCGCACAGCTCACACCTCTTGAATGCAGCTTTCTCAAATTTTACAATGCAGTTCCCCAACCACAAAATGGGGAGGGGCTATTGGGTTGTTTTTATTTTTATTATGTATTTTGTGGTTTTATATCTTTATTTTATTCTGTGAACCACCCCGAGACCCCCAGGTATAGGGTGGTATATAAATTCAAAGAAGAAGAAGAAGAAGAAGAAGAAGAAGAAGAAGAAGAAGAAGAAGAAGAAGAAGAAGAAATTAAAGGAAAGTGTGCACAAAAAGTGTCTATATTAGAGTAAATAACATGCAGAAATGGATGCCAGTTGCTGCAAATGGTAGGAGGAGAAAGTGCTCGTGCTCAGGTTCCAGATGCAAGGCTTCTTATTCTCATAAATTAACGCGTCGGTGTGGGTGATGTAGTTGTAATCACTGACCTGCATATCTCCTAAATCTGCAATAGTTAATGCTCATATAGCCTGTGTGCCTCCCCACCCCCCTCGTTCAAATATGTATGAAAGTGTGTTTCTTGGGTGTAAGCCTTCAATTCGGCAAACATTTAGAACCGTGTGTGGTTGATTCCATGCACAAGATTTTGTTACTCTCACCGAAAAGCTGTACAGTGGTACCTTGGGTTAAGTACTTAATTCGTTCTAGAGATCCGTTCTTCACCTGAAACTGTTCTTAACCTGAAGCACCACTTTAGCTAATGGGGCCTCCCGTTGTTGCTGCTGCCGCGCCGCCGCCACCCGATTTCTGTTCTCATCCTGAAGCAAAGTTCTTAACCCGAGGTATTATTTCTGGGTTAGTGGAGTCTGTAACCTGAAGCATATGTAACCTGAAGCGTATGTAATACAATGGGCACCACCAGAGAAAAGGCCGTGCTCCGTGTAGCTCCTGCCTTCTCATTTGATAGGGTGACCAATTGCCCTCCTTCTTGACATGGAATGCTCTCTATTGGAGTCTCCAGGTCCAATATAAAGACCATAAGAAGGGAAATCAGGGACCTTGAAGTCCCCAACAGCTGTTAAGCAAGCAAGCAAGCACACACACACACAGGTCACCTTTGTCACAGATGTGTCATGCCTATGTCCTGGCCAGGCCTGCACCCAATCTTGTTTCTGTACCCTTGTTTGTTCTCAGTAACCAAAAACATATTATCAACATATACAAGCAGAAAAGTTGTTTTCTTTCATTTGCAAGGAATCGTACAAAACAAAGTGGAACTAATAAAGAAAAGTTCCAGGGTGGCAACAGAAAGCAAACTAAAAATGCTTTTGCAGTTCATCAGAACAATCCAGCAATATCAAGTTATAGGAAGGTTGGTGCTATTAACAGTAATCTTTTTAGTTGGTTAATTGATTTGGCAACTTCCATGCACATGATATCTGATGATAATCCCACCCCAAGAGTTAAATGAGATTCAGGTGAGGGTCATATGCCTTGTAAATCCCAGCAGGTATAAAACAGGAAGACTCAGCCTGCCCAGGCCGATGATGCTTAGGCGGTGGTGAAATTCTCAGCATTGCTGTACTCTGAAAGAAAATTATATGAAAATGATGTACCAGTTTTGCACTGGGTCACCCCAAATTCACCATCAGATCACATAGCATGTCCATGGCTACAGCCTGCACCCAAAAAAGCACGCATCCACTGTTTCGTGGGGCCGCAATGGCGCAAAAACGTGATTACAAAGCACGGATCCGCATGGATCCTCAGGATTTTAGCATTGGGTCACCCTAAATTCACCATCAGATCACATAGCATGTCCATGGCTACAGCCTGCACCCAAAAAAGCACACATCCACTGTCACGGCTAAAAATTGGCAGCTGTTTCTTTAATGCTAAAAGAGCTAAGTCAGCATGAGTAAACGACCTACAATGACTCATGCAACCTTTCGCCAAATTGTAGCTGTATATATAGAGTGGTCAATGTTAGTGTTTGTTTGGATGGTAGAAAGCTGGTTGCATTTGGTGTGTGTAAAAGCTGTCAGTCCTGGTTGGAGAAGACTTTTTAAGAATAAAAGCAGCAATACTCTGCAAGAATACTCTTTCTCAAAGACTCTTTTGTGCCAACTAAGGTCTGAGGACTAGGCAAAGGAGTAAAAAGGAGGTCAAAACCTTTTCTTTTTCAAACACTGACATCCACTGTTTCGTGGGGCTGCAATGGCGCAAAAATGTGGTTACAAAGCACAGATACACATGGATCCTCAGGATTTTTGCATTGGGTCACCCCAAATTCACCATCAGATCACATAGCATGTCCATGGCTATAGCCTGCACCAAAAAAACCACGCATCCATTGTTTTGTGGGGCCACAATGGCACAAAAACATGGTTACAAAAGACACAAGAACTTCCCACGCTGGAGGAATGGCAGATGAAATTTATGGACTATATGGAATTGGCAGAAATGACTGGTAGAGTCCGTGACCAGGGAGAAGAGTCGATGGAGGAAGATTGGAAGAAATTCAAAGACTATCTTCAGAAACACTGCAAAATTAAAGAATGTTAGAGTGATGTTGGATTGAAAATAAGTGGTTTCCAGCTGTACAGGTTAAAGTTAATGATAGACTAAGATTAAAGATTAAGATTAAAGATGTTTAAAGAAATGGAAATTTGATATTAAGAGGGAAAATTTTAATGTTATATGATACTAAGACCAAGGATTAGGTTTAAAGAAGTTGAAGTTATATATTTTAATATTTTATTAAATTAAAGTTTGGGATTAAAAAGTGGAAAAGAAACTGCTGGACAAATAACTTGGATTGGAATACAAAAGAGGGAGGTATGAGGAAGTCCAGAAAGTAAGTAATTTAAAAATGGAAATGGAAAAGAGATATTGTTTTTAATTGTTATGTTTTTGGGGTTTTTTATTGTTGAATTTTGTGTTGCTTTTTGTGTGTGTTGTTGTTATATGTATTGTGTATGGTTTTTTTCCTCTTTCTTTATTGTCTAAAACCTTAATAAAAATTATTTATTAAAAAAAAAAAAAACATGGTTACAAAGCACGGATCCACATGGATTCTTAGGATTTTTGCATTGGGCTACCCCAAACTCACCGTCAAATCACATATCATGGCTGTGGCCACAGCATGAACCACAAAAATCATACATCCACTGTTTCATTCAGAATTCCCCCCCCCCTTGTTTTCCTCCTCTAAAAACTAGGTGTGTCTTATGGTCAGGTACGTCTTATGGAGCGAAAAATATGGTAACCGCACTGGGAAAATAAAAGGGAATTTAGCTGGTGCTGAAATGATAGCAAAAGTAGCTGCCAGGAGAGCCTCTGTGGAAAAGGCATTCTACAACCAGAGTGCCACCACTGCAAATACTTTCTCTCCCATAGCCACTCATTGTACCTCACTTGACTGGGCCACTCTGAGAAAGACATTTGATGTTCTCAAGGTCTGGGCAGAGACAGTGCTTCAGAGTCTAAAGAGCTGGGTGGGTGCATGTATAGAAAGACAGTCCGTCCTCAGACCACCCCCCCCCCCAGGTTTTTGCATATTGCTATTTTGAGAGGCTTCTGATAAAGACAATATGAGAGCCCTGATCTATTCCAAGATGCAATGAGCAGTCTTTCTGAAGATGGGGAATTCTGTTGCCTCTCTGCACTCGAAATTATGGATGAAAGCGTTCCTCTAGGAGAGGAGAAGCAAATTTACCTGTCGTGGTGGAGCCTGATCAGGGGAAAGAAAGGCTGGAATGGGAAAACATACACAGATGCAACACACAGTTTTCTCTGATGACAGAAACTTCATATAATTGAGTTTCTCACAGCACACTAGCAGGCCTCTTGCATCGCACTAGCCTGTCTGTGATAGGTAGACTGATTCTGTTGCCATTCTCAACTCTACGTATTTAAAGAGGTGGCAGCAGCTTATTTAACTCCTGGGGCCTTGCTCTTCTTCCTTGAAATCTCCATGTGCCTGAATAATCTTGGTAATTCTTGGCAAGTCATCTACTGTCCATGCAGAGTCCACTGTGACTTGCTGTCTCTCAAGAGCAAAGAACAGCAGGGCATGTTAGATTGAATTTCTCAGCATCACACTTGCCCAGCTGCCAGAAAGTAAAATTCTTCCCTAAATCTGAGATTTAGCATCTACATTACTCACTTTCCCCTTCATTACTGAGGCAGCGATCTATATGTTTACATAGTGAGATGAGACCAAAGTGTCTCAGGAAATACACTCAGATCAAAGGGATTGGCTCTCTTCTCTCAGGGCTGAGAAACCCTGTCAATATCAGCACCTGTTTCATAAAGTTAATTTTCTTGGAGTGGTCATGGGATCGAGCGGAAGGACTTCATCACTATGCTTCTGAAAAGGAACCAGCTTTCTTGCACAGCATTGCAACAAGACTGAGCAAGTCCATCCCTTTGGGACCCTCCTCTTTCAAAGTGCTGTGGACCATGTGGCCTGTACCCAACTGTTAGCAATAGTAGTGCAGCACAACCTTATGCATGTCTACTCAGAGTTAAGTGCTACTAAATTCCACTGAACTTACTTACTATGTGCATGCGTGTAGGACTGTAGCTATAAGTTACATCATTGGTAAACCATTTTTCCCAAAGGCATCACAGCATCCTCTCAGTGGTGCAGCAATGAAACTGCTTGCACATTTGCAAAGCTAAGCAGGATCTGGTGTGGTTTCAAATTGGATGGGTGACTTCTGTGTTCAGATGCTTGCATTGCAGGGCATTGGACTAGATGACCCTCAGGATGTCAAGACTAGAATTCTATGATCCTGCAACAAACGTTAAAGGAAAACAGAGGTAAATCCATCAAAAATGCATTGCCATCGACATCAGCTTCTTATAAAAGACTATGTAACAGGCAAAAAGAGTTCAATAAATAGACACGAAAACAAATCTTAATATCAAACTATTGGAAGGATTAATTCATAATTCATTTCTAACAGGGAGAGATTAAGGTACCTCCTGACCTATGAGGCTGTAGCAGGATATTAGATACCTTTTAAAGTGCTGCAAAGAGAAAGAGATGTGAAACACCCTCGCTGACCTAGTCTATTGTTATAATGTGCTCAAAGTTCCAGACTGGGACCTGAGAGACCAGGATTCAGCTCCCCACTCAGCCATGAGGCTTACTCGGCTTGTTGTGAGGAAAAGTTGGGAAGGGCAGAACTATGTCCATCTAAGGGTAAAATGTAAAGGACCCCTGGACAGTTAAGTCCAGTCAAACTTGACTACGAGGTACTACACTCATCTCGCTTTCAGGCTGAGGAAGCTGGCATTTGTCCACAGACAGCTTTCTGGGTCATGTGGCTAGCATGACTAAACTGCTTCTGGTGCAATGGGACACCGTGACGGAAACCACAGTGCACAGAAATGCCGTTTACCTTCCTACCACAGTGGTACCTATTTATCTACTTGTACTGGTGTGCTTTCAAAGTGGTAGCTTGGCAGAAGCTGGGATGGAGCAACGGGAGCTCATCCTGTCGTGGGGATTCGAACCGCCAACCTTCCGATCAGCAAGCCCAAGAGGCTCAGTAGTTTAGACCACAGCGCCACCTGCTTCCCTTGCTTCCCATCTACAGCTCCTTGAATTAAAGGTGAGATTTAATGAATGGTGAAAGTTCTCTGTTCTCTGGCATATTTTCAAATGACTACCGAAATACAGAATGTTCAAAGTACTTCACAAATATCATTCTAGTCAGCCTATGACGTAGGCCAGTATATTATTCTTCCTACATTGAAGCATTGTGTTCAATATGTAATAATGCAAGATGTCTGAGGTCAATGAAGCCTTTGCATGCTAAATCTGAAATTGTACTATTATAGCTTAAATGGGATTATGGAACAGTCTGTTTATTTTACTCTCACAACTACTCTGCTGAGGTTTTAAACCTGGGAACATTCTGTGCCAAGTGCTCATTCTATTACACTTAAGCAATGGCTTAATAGGATGGCAAGAATTCAGATGAGGGAAGGGTTTGGAAAATTAAAATCCAGAATGCATTAATTACTAGAAGAGCATTTCAAATACAGTTATGGAACGGTATATTTTCTGGGTCTGTGTTTCTTTTCTCTACCCTCTTATGCATGAGCACTACTGGGACTTTTAGCAAAGGCTGAAGTCAGGTAATTTACTGGTTTCCAAACACAATTCTATGCATGTCTACTCTGAAGTAAATCCAATTGAGTTCTCATTGTACATTTAGGATTGCAGCTTGAGAAAAGAAATATATGTTCCTATAGATCAAGGCTGGCTAACCCCTTTCATGCCAAGGGCTGCATTGACCAATGGCAATACTCTGGGGAAATCACATGTTAAAAGTGGGTGTGGCTGAAGCACAAAATGGTGGCTTTCATAAGTTTTATGACTGTGTAAGTAATCTGTCTGAAAATATTGTATCTTTTGATTGCCCATCCCCATATTTTGGGAAGTGTTTTTTATACCGTAAAAACTGAAATGGAAAGAAGATAAAGTCCCTACCAGAGAAAAATGGCAAATGAACTTGATGGATTATGGTGAAATGGCTAAAATGACCAGAAGAATCAGAAATCGGGCACACCAAAAATTTGATAAGGAATAGGGATTTTTTTTAATAATTTATCTTAAAAAACATTATAAACAGCTAAAATCGTTAGTAGGATTGGAAGAACACTTGTAGTTTAATGGTGTTTTTGGACATAATGGAGATGTAAAAGATTTGGATTATCATAAAAGATGCAGGAGGAAATGACTAACAGTAGGACCCACAAAGGGGAGGCAGGAAGTCCAGGAGATTCTTTGGAATCTTGTTTTATGTTGTATGTTGGATATGTGATTGCAAAACTTTAATGTGAAAAACCAAATAAATAAATTTATATAAAAAAGAACTGATTGATTGGTTAACAACAACAACAATATAATTGACAAGTTTCCTTTTAATGATACCTCCAAATTTCCCACATGGAGACAGGCTGTCCCGTTCTCCAGCTTTGATCATACCTTCTTAGCTCCGGCAACCAGATCTGAACAGTTATCTCTTCCATGACCTCTTCCAGTCGGTGAGGAGGGAAATCGTAGATAACTCTGCCATTTATACAGCTGAAGCTTATAAAACACACATTTGCTGACCATTGTTATCACAATAAATAGTCTGGATGTTTTGGTATGAGTTTTGCAGAATACCTTGAGCTGATCAATGAATATTAAGTGTAAACCGTTCCCCATGGAGCTGTACTATTACAATTTTCAACTTGAAATATATCCCACATGAATCATATGAAATATTGATGCAGCAAGTGATGAAAAAACCAGGGCTGGTTTTTTGCTTGGTTTATTTTTTGCCAGCGGGGCGGCACCGGGGGAGGGATCCTGTTTTGGGTGTATCTTTAGCTGCTGAGAGAAAAATCCAATAAGCTAAGTGTGAAATGCAACCTCCAATAGATGACTCTTTCCTTTGTTTTCTTGCTTTTATTGTCCCTGCACATGCCATACTGTTGTATTTGTGTGTCTGCTTCTTTGGAAGATTGAATTATATCCAAGTTGTTGATGCACTAGAATATAAAGCAAACAAGCTATTGATTGTTGCAAAGGAAGTGGGGTTGGGGTGCGAACAAACTACTTGGCCTGTTTTATGCTGTAAAGTAAAATGCACAGAATATAGATATATTGTGGATACGTACAACGATGGAAGTGGCCTAAAACAACCAGTTTCCCCTGTCATCTAACCTCAGTGGGGACACACCTTCATGGGGTGCAGATTCTTTGTAGCATCTTTTCACATAGTGAGAATTTGATCATATACATGTGGCTCAAACCACGCCTTGGCCCTAAGGCTGTGTATTCACGTAATGTACAGCTTTTGAAAAGCAGAGTAAAAAAGGGAGGGGCAATGGGCTCACAGTTTGCAAAGACACTTAAATAAAGCAGGGTCTAGAAATAAGAACCCTGTTAACATTCTACTGAATAAACTGAATTTTTTAAAACAAAAACAAGAAAGGCAGGAAAGGGAAGATCTCCCAGGGTGGGAAAAGGATGGGGAAGCTCCCAGATGAGAGCTGGGAGGGTCTACCACCTTTTGTGTGGGACGAGGGTTAAGATGCACCTCTGATAGCGGGCTTTGTATTTATTTTGCTTCCAGTTTTTCTTTCTGTTGTCTTTCTTTTTTGTGTGTCTTGTTTTGTTTTGCTTTCTCCTGTTTCTAGTTTTATTCAGATTCGTTTGGCTTTTATTGTATTGTATGTTGTATGTATTGTATGGGACGCAGGTGGTGCTGTGGGTTAAACCACAGAGCCTAGGACTTGCCTATCAGAAGGTCGGCGGTTCGAATCCCCGCAACGGGGTGAGCTCCTGTTGCTCGGTCCCTGCTCCTGCCAACCTAGCAGTTCAAAAGCACATCAAAGTGCAAGTAGATAAATAGGTAGGTCTCCGGAGGGAAGGTAAACGGCATTTCCGTGCACTACTCTGGTTCGCCAGAAGCGGCTTAGTCATGCTGGCCACATGACCCGGAAGCTGTACGCCGGCTCCCTCGGCCAATAAAGCGAGATGAGCACCGCAACCCCAGAGTCATCCACGACCAGACCTAATGGTCAGGGGTCCCTTTACCTTTACCTTTATGTTGAGATAGATAGATGTAATATAATTTAGGAAGAAAGAAACAGGGAGGTATTGTGTTTTAGAGACAGGCCTTGCTGAGAACAGGAGCAAATTCAGTTTAACATCCAGAGGAAAACTCCTTCAGAACTGCACAGCCAATGAGAGCACATGCTACCTGTGTGGTTGCTAAGCAACACCTACAACACCCTTCTGGGTAGCAGACTTAAAACAGAGAACAGAATTAGCAATTCTGTTGCAAATCGAATGATCCCTGTTGCTGCTGCTTTTCCAAAACTTGGGTATTTTTTCACAAAGCCGTTCCACTTCCGGGTGGGGTGGTGTTGCCATGAGGCCACATGGCCTTCACACACAGCGGGGGCCTGTGAAGTCCCGCGTCATGGCCCCAGCCAGCCAATCCGGTAGGCCAGAGGGTGTGGCTTATCCCTTTAAATCAGCCGTGTGGCCAGGGGGATCTCCCTTCTTGTTCTGGCTTCCGCAGGTCTGCAACGTGCTCTCCTGCTACCTTGAGTATTCCAGCTTTTACCTTGAATCGCTTCAGGAGATCGGCCTTCCCTGCTTCGCAGCAGGAAGTGCTTTTGGAAGAGCCTCCTTCCCTCCATATTTTACTTTGTCTGCTTGTTTCCTTTACAGCAACACACACACCTCTCAGCCGGATTGGAACAGGTGAAAGCCGGCTTTCTGCCTGCCTCACTGTTCTGTGCTCAGGCTTCCGGAGGGCAGCCCTTGAGAAGTGGGTTGAGGTGGCACACGATATGGTGTCCACGTGTTGTTATTTAACAGAGAGGTTAGGCTGGCCTCAACCAGAGCCCGGGCTTTTTCAGCTGTGGCTCCGATCTGGTGGAATGCTCTGTCACAAGAGACTAGGGCCCTGCGGGACTTGACATCTTTCTGCAGAGCCTGCAAGACAGAGCTGTTCCACCAGGCTTTTGGCCAGGGCACAGCCTGACTCCCTCCTTTGGCAATCTTCATAGAACTCTGGCCCAATGGTTGTCATCAATTTGATTTGAATTAATATTATAATGAAATGATTTTAGAATGTTGTATTATTTTATTGTTGTTAGCCGCCCTGAGCCCGGCTTCGGCTGGGGAGGGCGGGATATAAATAAAAATTTATTATTATTATTATTATTAGGGAGAGGCCTCAGGGTCTTGACTCGCAACTGTCCCAAAAGCAATAGCGGCAGCAGTAATAATAATAATAATAATTAATAATAATAAATTTATTATTTGTACCCCGCCCATCTGGCTGAGTTTCCCCAGCCACTCTGGGCGGCTTCCAATAAAGATTAAAAATACATTAAAATCTCATACATTAAAAACTTCCCTGAATAATACGACCTGGGCTGTTCTTTTTCTGATTGGTTGGCAGCAGTAGATCTGGGATAGGCAGAAAATGGTTCGGGATCCATCAGTAAATCTCAGAGTGATTTGTGCTAGTTCCACAAGGATTTCAGACTACCTCTTGTTTCACAGTCCCAAGTAAAAACATGAGAAAAAGAAAAAGAATTATCTGCATATGGCTGAACTTGGGCCTGTAAAGTCCACATATACAATCATTGTCTGTGACCAGGTTTTTATGCCGTATTGCTTGTTCATTTTTGTGGGCTAAATTTCCCTCCACACCTGCAGAAATGCAGGTGTGCAGAGTGGTTCTGGTATTCATAGCTATCCTGGTACATGGCCCATGGGAAGCATCGGGTAGTTGGCTCCATCCCTCGAGCCGCCATTTTGTGCCTCCTGTACCACCACCCACTCAGTTGCCACTCATTTCTATCTGATGCTGATCACCAAGGTTCTAGCAAGGAACAAAATAGATCCCACAAGCCTGGTGCCTGACCATCTCTGCCATACATTCATCTTATATACTGAGAGGCAACACGCATCCTGGTGGCTTGCCCCCCCCCCATGTTTATAATCTGGGACTAAGAAATAAAACTCCCTGATGTTTTCCAAGGGGCAACAATTGCAAAAAGGAAGGCATCCTGGCTTTTGACTCAAATGCATTTATTTACAGGCATGGATGTGTGTCTTGGACCATGGCCCTTGCCTTCTGGCTTCAGATTCAGGGCATTGCTCCTGGAATAGAGCAGAAGATGGATGACTATTTTTGTCTGCCACGGCACCTTCTATTTTTGAAAATAAATGAATGGCCCTGCCATCAGCAACCCCACCTCCATGCATTTCCCGAAGGCACTTAGAGATGTTTAGTAATCCAGACACCGCAGACTCCAGAATTGTGTGCGTGCTTTAAATTCATAGCTGTAACATTCTTCACCTGCCCCCAGTCATCAAGACAAAATGCATATTCTTACATAAAGATTGCTCGCGCCTCTGTTATTATAAATGCCGTGTAAGAGCACGGAAATGCACCGAGAATGTTCTCTCCGTTTTTACATTGTACACCCTCAGGCTATGAGGTGAGGGGTTGCGAGCAATTTAAGAACTGATAAAGAGTTCCTGTAATCTGAATCTTGCAGAATTTTGATGAACAGCTGAAGAACTCTGCTTAGGCATTTCCATTCCCCCTCACCCTCCTTTAATTATAACTTTGATTTATAAAGAAAGAATCACTGTAACATTCCCATAGTACTTTGGGAGCACATTATCAAAATGCCTGTTGTTATGACAAATGAGGTGGGCGTGAAGATTGAGGGCCTGCATGTTGTAGGAACACAGGTGAGGAAATACCTCTCTGAGGTGCGTGCTTTTGAAGGTATAATACGATGGAGCCAGTGGCGGGTGGTATCCATTTGGTATTCTTATTCTTTTTTGAATTTATATATTGCCCTATACCCGGAGGTCTCAGGGCAGTTCACAGAAAAGATCAACATCAAAACCACAATATATACAATCAAAATAAAAACAACAACCAAATAACCCCCCTCCCCAAAAAAGAGCCACATTTTAAAAGGGCATAGGATGTCAATTAGATCAACCAAAGGCCTGGTTAAAAAGGAATGCTTTTGCCTGGCACCTAAAGGTGTATAATGAAGGTGCCAGGTAAACTTTCCTGGGAGAGCATTCCACAGATGGGGAGCCACTGCAGAGAAGGCTCATTATTGTGTTGCCACCCTCCAGATCTTGCAAGGAGGAGGCACACAAAGAAGGGCCTCATAAGATGATCTCAGGGTCCGGATAGGTTCACATGGAAAGAGGCGGTCCTTGAGGTATTGTAGTCCTGAGCACTGGTAGGGCAGAAGCAGGGAGGGCAACAGTAGGTGACAACACAACAAATCAGAGGCTAATCCTTGTTTTGCCTCCATCCTCCTCCCTGCTGACTTTTATACTAAGGAGGAGGGAGCTGGCAGCCAGTGCCAGCCTGGTTGTAAGTAAGAAAGCAGGACGTTGGCTGATGGCTGATGGCAGCCTCCTCCAGATGGAACTTTGGGAATTGGCTTTTATCAGTGTTGTGGTGGAATCCTGTTGGCCATGTATACATTTAAAATGGATCAGTGTTCTACTTTGTTAAATCCAGTTCTGTCAAGTAACCCAGTCCCCACTTCTTCTTGCAGCACTTGCTATTGGCTGCTGCTTGTGCTCCTCCCTCCCGCCATTTCCTTCATGAGCCAGAGACAAGGGGCAGGCCCACAAGCGGCATTATTGAAGGGAAGGAGACTCTTGCAGGAGCATGGGTCTTGGACAGGTGCCTGGCCACACCAATGTTGGCCCTGGTCAAAAAATGGAGCACATCAACGCTACTTGATGGAATAATAATAATAATAATTTATTATTTATACCCCGCCCATCTGGGTGGGTTTCCCCAGCCACTCTGGGCGGCTTCCAACACAATATTAAAATACAGTAATGCATCAAACATTAAAAGCTTCCCTAAACAAGGATTTTAATTGGGGAGGTGCTTTCCAACCTTTATTTGTTTTGCCTTTGCAAGCAAACCTCTGAGGTAGGTTACTCCTCCCAGTTTACAAATGCGTCAGGCTATGATGGGACTTGGACACTGGGGTCAAGTAGCAGCTTCAGAGTTCTGTCACAGCAGTCAGTTCTCTCACCCAGAGGAGGAGGCAATTACTATGACAGATTCCCTCCCCAACCTCTGGCTACTTGTCCTTGTTGAGGGGGGACCTTTTGGTAGTTCAGTATTTCAATATCTCTCTCACCCGCCATTGTGAGGTCCGTGTTTTCCTGAGGTCAACAGGTCATGTCATCATCCTGTATCCTCATAGCGACAAAACCAGAAGATTCTGCTGGCATATCTTATCTTGGCCTCTTCATCTCAGATTTGACACATTGCTGCAGATTATCCTTCTGAGCCTAATACCTTCTTTCCAAAGTCACTATTCCTGTTATTTGACCATCTTTGGTCTCCTAATGGCATCAGGGATTCTGCTGTTCCTTTAACATAAGAACTGCTGTGACAGTTCAAACCAAGTTCCAAACCCAACAGTGATCAAACAGGTTCTTCTGGAAGCTCACAAGCCAGGCATGAAGGTGAAGGACATCACTTGCTGTTTGTCCTTATCAGCAAAGGATATTACAAGTATACTAGGGCTGAAAATGGAAGTTCAGTTTAACCATGAAGAACTAGGTGCTCTTAATAGACTATGAATTAGTCAGTTAAGATGGTGACTATCTTAAACTCTCGAAGTACTAAATTCCTTAGTTACATTACACTGGTACCTCGGGTTACAGACGCTTCAGGTTACAGACTCCACTAACCCAGAAATAGTACCTTAGGTTAAGAACTTTGCTTCAGGATGAGAACAGAAATCATGTGGCGGCGGCGCGGCGTCAATGGGAGGCCCCATTAGCTAAAATGGTACCTCAGGTTAACAGTTTCAGGTTAAGAACGGACCTCCAGAACGAATTAAGTTCTTAACTCGAGGTACCACTGAATGCACCATGTGGAGTAGCACTTCTCTTTGTCTTGAACCTACTGGCAGTCCTCTTCTCCATTGGGTGACCCGAAATGCTAGTGTTGCAAGAGAGGGACTATTTTTTTAGTTGATCAAAAGGTTTAGAAATTTGCAAGCAGTGTGCAAGGGATGAATAAAGCAAAAATTGTCCATTCTTATTGCTGATCAGTGGAAGTTTGCTACAAGACCGTTTTAGGATATACATCCTGCTTCACTGGGGGGACGTGGGTGGTGCTGTGGTCTAAACCACTGAGCCTAGGACTTGCCAATCAGAAGGTCGGCGGTTTGAATCCCCACGGCGGGGTGAGCTCCTGTTGCTTGGTCCCTGCTCCTGCCAACCTATCAGTTTGGAAGCACGTCAAAGTGCAAGTAGATAAATAGGTACCACTCCGGCGGGAAGGTAAACAGTGTTTCCGTGTGCTGCTCTGGTTCACCAGAAGTGGCTTAGTCATGTTGGACACATGACCCAGAAGCTGTCTGCGGACAAACACCGGCTCCCTCGGCCAGTAAAGTGAGATGAAGGTGCAACCTCAGAGTCATCCGCGACTGGATCTAACGGTCAGGGTACCTTTACCTTTTTATCCTGCTTCATTTCCTCCTTCCAGGCAAAATCATGTGCTTGACAGCTGCTTAGGATCTTCCTCTAGGTGGGAGATACTATCTTGTCTGAAAGAAGTCACATAAAGACTTTCAAACTTTTATATTTATTTTATTAAGTCCCTGGGTAGGGTCTTTCTGAGATAGAGCTGGAGCACATTGCCAGGTCAGGAATGGAACTTTGTCATAGTATGGCAGGTAAGGGGTGGACCCAGAACATAATATGGCAGGTGAAGAGTAGCTTTAGTTAGATAATCGAGAAATCCTGAAAAATATTTCAGCAGCGCTGTAGTGCAAATTTCTCCTAATAGCCACATCTTTTGTGTGCAGTTTTGCCTAATCTATGCATTTGTCCAATTTCACCTTATGTAATGCATTTTTCAATGCTGTTTTTATTTACCTTAGTATATGATTTTTTATACACATTATTTGGCAGGGAAACTGCTCTGAAAAATTCAGAGAGGTGCAAATGTCAAAGGAAGGCTGTGTTTCAGTTTGTGTATTGCCTAGGAAAGTGAAAATTGGGTAGGTTTGCTTATAAAGGTAAATTGAATTGAATTTACCCCCATCCCTAGTTGTTGGCTGGCAAAATGATTGCTCCTTAATTTGTCTGCAAAAACACTAGCATGCTTGATAAAGGTCTTCATAATGGATGGCCCTTCTAGACTTCTCAGGAACTATGTCCCTGAGTGCAGACTGGTAGAAAATGTTCATACATCTTCCGAACAAATGGGGCAGTGATTCTCAAAGGTTACATTTGCTGTCCTTGCCTTTTTGTGCATGTTTGTGTATTTCACCACTAAACTAATAATTGATTTCACATGATCTCCTTAAGAGTACTACAGTACTCAACAAACACTTGAGAAAACTATATTTGCAGCTTCACTATAAAATATAATGCTGAAACTTTCCTGCTACCCCTGAGGCAATGAACACATTCATTATTTCATTCTGCAGCTTAAAAGGTTCACTATATCATTTTCAAAAATGCAGCACATGCAATATCATATAGAAATCAGGATGATCTCACAATGTTGCATCTGATGGGATGCTGTTGCCAGATGCCAGTAAATAAATCATCCGATTTGGCTACTGGATGACAGCACCGAGATCAAATGTAGGAATAGGAAGTGAGGGCAAGTGAGGGCAATTTAAAAAGAAATCAGTGAAAATTTTCAGAAGGAGTGTCCAAAAACTGCCAAATGAGGGAAGGCGTTTTTGATACTGATAAAAACGTTCTTTTTATTTTTAAGGTGAGTACTTCAGGCTTAGTTTTGATTACATTATGCAGCTGGATTCTATAAGTGAAACTTAGCTGAGTGACACTGCTACATGCCTTGTTCTAAAAAAACATATATTATCTCAGCAGCCTTGAATAATGTCCAATAAGGTATCTAGAGATATATATCTCTTCTTTTGCTGGTAAACACCGTATCAATAATTCTGTTTTATTCCCTTGAGAGATGGGTAGTTTGGGGAAGGACTATATTTTGTGGATGTGCCTGTAGATGTGTTGGCTGACTTTATGACTAATGGCTACTGTCCATGCAGAATTATAAGCTCTGCAATATTTAAGTGCATTTACCCTCTCAAAAATCCACACATATGCAGACCCACACACATAGACAGAGAGTAACAAACAGCCTCAGGTGCCAAACCAGAACAGACACCATTTTAATAAGCTGAAAAAAGAAGATCCATATCTCACCCCCCCAAGGTCTTATTTTGGCTTGCTTTTTTTCTCTAACAAGGTTTAGCACTCCAGCTATCACACCTGCATATTAACTATGGCTACATAGACAGCCCGCTCTGCCCCTCTTCCTAGTCTGGGATAAAGTCCAATATTGCTTGTCTGGGTGAATTTACATGCCACGTCTTAATAATAAAGCTGAGGTACCTTCCAGAACTCAAAATGCCATAAGCCTAGAGACAGGAACCCAAATGATGTTGCAAAATTGGTATGATCCCAGCACCAAGTGCAATTTTAAGCTTCTTTTAAAAAGAAATCACTTCACCAAGTTTATGAAACCCCATACATACACACACACACACACATGTTCTTATGTCACATATGTATACATCATCATATTACATTACAGGGCATATTATAATATAATTTCCAACATGTAGACAAAGTTTATATACCAAATTTATGTACCTAAAGCAAGAAAAAAGAAAAAAACAAAGACATAAAGCCATTTCAAAATAATACTTGTACCAACACTACGGACTTCCTGTCAATCTCTTTGTATATTCTTTTTCTTACAAATGAATGTACTCTTATTATCGTATATTTTTTTTTCATTTTATCTAATACATTCCTATATCGTACCCTTAATCTTGTTTCTCAATTCAATTTCTCTCCAACGTCAATCGAATGCTAGCATAAATAGGGAACCTTTACTATATTTTTGAACATATAAAACCCTTTTAAAAAACTGCAGATACCAACCTGAGAGGAGAAGCTATCTTCCGGGTTTATCAAACCAGTTGGCCCATTGCCATGCTAACTGAGCAAAGCTGGAGAGGAAACATCTTCCAGTTTCATGATGCTTGCATTTTCATCATGCCCCATGTTGACAAAGAAAAAGGAAGTCACTAGTTCTGGCTGCATAGCCTTTACCACGGCATTGGTATGGTCCTGTCCTAGCAATATATTTCACCTATGCTGCACTGTGATGCAAGAGTGTGACAAAGAGATGACAATCAATACCTGTCTATTATAGAGAGAGATAACAGAATAACCAGGCAGCTTGGTTTTGCTGTCTGTCTTAGTCTTAATACCCCCAAACAGATTCTCTCTCTCCATTTAGTTACAGAAGCCCCCATCAGTCCTCTGACTTCTGGTTCCAAGACAGCTTTATCCTATTTTCTGTCACCCTGGCTGCATCTTTTCCTTGCATCTATTACCAAATGTAACCTTCTGACCGAGTAATGTGATCTTGATTGAAGACACCAAGGAATCAGCGAGAATTCAATTGGTAAGCCTCCCATTTCAGAGGACAGGCTTTGTGTGAGTTCATGTCATTTGCCCTGCTCTTTTATTTCTTGCTTTGTATCCAGTATGTGATGGTATTAGAGGCTGCATCAAATGTGTACCATCATTAATGAGATATGGCACCTATGACCAATATTATTTATACCTTCACAGTGGAAGTGCATGATGCTTTGCAGAATTTCATGAGCAAGAAAAGGCAAGCCCTTTTCCTAAGGAGCAAGGAAAGAGACAAGAGACAGGAAGAAGAAAAGGACAGAGAGAGGTAAGGGACTCTGGGAATAACTGAAGTTGCTGTCGCACTCATGTTCTGCTTGTGGACTTCCCATGGGCTTCTGGTGTGAGAAGAGGGGCAATTCCAGACTGCTGCTATTTCCAAGTGGGATTCAATCATGTCCTGGCAAATTCAGGTTGCACAATTATAGCACATTAGGAAGTTTTGTAAAACAGACCCTCTACACTCAAAGATCAGGTGTTTTGTGATAAGGAATGTGATGGGGAAATGCAATGGAAAGTGTGGGATAGCACTCAGAATCATAGAACTGTAGAAATGGAAGGAACCCCAAGGGTCATCTAGTCCAATTGATACGATACGATAATCTTTATTGTCATTGTCCCATACAGAACAACAAAATTGAAAAAATCTACATCAGACATTCAAAAACCAACAATCCCAGCTATCCCAGCCTGGTTAACCCCCTAAAAACTCTGATACCCTATAATTAAATACAATATACTGCCATAGAGACTACCTTACACTGTGTTTAAAACCAAAATCACATTTGGATAGAAACTTGTTTCTCAGGCGGCCAGTCCTAGTCTTTATAACCCCGTACCTTCTTCCAGAAGGCAGAAGCTGAAAGAGATCATTTCCGGGGTGCGCACTATCCTGCACTATCTCTGCAGCTTTCTTATGACACCTGGAAGCATAGATTTGATCCAAGGTGGGAAGAGTGCACCCAATTATTCCTGCAATGAAGGAATCGCAGCTAAAGTATCCATGACAGATGGCCATCCAGCCTCTGCTTAAAAACCTCCAAGGAAGGAGAGTCCACAACCTCTCATGGGAGTCTGCTCCATTGTCAAACAGCTCTTACTGACAGAAAGTTCTTCCTGGTGTTTAGTCAGAATCTCCTTTCTTGTAACTTGAAGCCATAGGTTCGAGTCTCACCCTCCAGAGCTGGAGAAAACAAGCTTGCCCCATCTTCCATATGACAGCCCTTAAGATATTTGAAGATGGCTCTCGTATCTCCTCTCAGTCTCCTCTTTTCCAGGCTAAACATATCCAGTTCCTTCAACCATTCCTCATAAGGCTTGGTTTAATGCATCACCTAAAATCACGAAAAAAATCAGGATGAATGTTCATTAAATAGCCAACTCAGGATGAATGCTTAAGAAACAGGTTGTCTGGAAGTGCCTTGGGGCGATGGACAAGATGGTCTCTTTTTATGTTCTGGGGTACGTATAGGAAGAGATTAATGTGAATAAAGGATGCTCATTTTTGTTTTGCTTGCGGATGAAATTTACATGGCTAAAACAAAAGATTGACAATAACTTTTCACACCCCTATATCTGCAGATGAGTATTTCCCCTAGTGTTCATTATTCTTCACAAGACCATAAAGGCAATACAGTTTCCAGAAATGTGGCATCTCTGGGCACTGTGTGTAATATAAACCAAAATTAGCACCGTCTCTACGATCAGAAATAACAGCATGGTGATTTAGCATATAAACTATAATGGCTCAAAGGAGATGAACAATGCTAGAAGTTAAGTCAAGGTCATTCGGCCACCAGCAGAAAACACAGATGTGCAATTAAGCTAAACACCAAGGAAACAGCTTCTCCCCTTACCTTCCTTAATATCTCCTGCCAGTAGAGCAAACATAAGTGCCAGCAGTAATAATGAGAGATATCTATAATAAAAACAGCTGAGGGATTGTTCCTTTGCCCAGGTCTTTAGGCGGGGGGGGGGGGATGCTATGAGCCAAATAAGGGAGAGAAAATACACCAAATAAATAGTGGATGTATCTTAACTCATGTACAGATCATTAATTAGAAAAGACAATTGTCCGTGTAGCTCAGACACAGATACAGAAATATATGCATAAGGAGCTGAAATCCAAAAAAGCTGTATGAAGCAGATAACCTGACAGGGAATTCAGTCCTGTTTAAAGCATTGAGTGCTGGAAGATATCAGTGTTGTCCAGTCTTCGAATAGTCTTATCTGCCCCTCTGTATGGCCTTAGTAATTCACAAAACCCGAGACTTCAAGCAAAAGCACAAAAAAGCCTTCCCATGCCCATTAGCTCTGTGTATGAGCATGTGTAATTAATTTTAAAACTAGGCTGTTTTTTCTTTTTAAGGGAGTGTTAAGTGGCTGCTATTTTCCATTATTACTATTTTCTACTACGGCTAGGAAGGGGAGGAAAAGAACAGAACACCTTGAACGTATCCATTAGTGAGTATCCCGTCATACGGACTTGTCAAAATGAAATAGTTCCTAGTTAATTAGCCGTTATAGCGCCTGGAGCAACTACTGCTTCTTCTTCTTCTTTTCAAAATAATAAAAATACATGAATCATTTTGAATCATACCTGTGCAACAGGGTGGGCAGAATGAAATAGAAGCATATTCATTTTCATGCTCAGCAGAAGAATAATTTGAGAGTGGTTTATTAGGCTATTTTCATTTTATTTTCTTCTTGCATATTGGGGGATTTCAAGGCTAGAACCAATGACCCCTAGCACTCTGCTTTGTTGCCCCATCGTGCTGAGCCACTCAGAACCAGAGTGCAAAAGGCTCTGTTCCCAGAGCTATGATGCCCTTGGAGGGTCCAGCATAATTCTACACACCCAGGCATTATTTCCCCATGACCTAATAGGACTATGAAAGGCTCCAGGTCAGGCTTCAGCAGTACTCAGCACTGATCATAGTTCCTGTGCATGATATTTCTTCCCATGCTTATTGAATTCCCCACAGATGCCATTTCAAGCCTGCAGCATTCCACCCTGCCAGCTTTCTTGGCTGCTTGATGAATCAGGATCTGCTAGGATCTGCATGTGGCTGCCCCATGTGGGAAATATCTGAACTTCAGCTTACAGCCTTCTCAAGGAAGAGCCTTCTGGATGGACTCCACTCATCTAACCTGACCACTTTTTGTCTTTTGACATAATTGGGTGGAATTTGCAGACATAATAGCCCTTTCAGAGTGGATGGAGTATGCCAAATTTTAGGCAAATAAAGGCACAGATTTTTGTACTAGCCAACTTTAAAAGTTGGTATTGGTGTTGGTGTTGTTTTAAAAAAGAGAGAATTAAAAAAAAAACCTTTTTTTAGTTTAAAAAAGAAATTGGATTAAATTTTCAGAAATATGAAATGAATCCTGCCTTTTTGAGACAGATAAATGCAGTGTATTTGTGGTTGGTCTCTTTAAGTTTGATTTGCAGGATCAGATAGCAAAAGGACTCACCTCCTCAACCACAACCTGCAGCCACAGGAAAAATCTTGGCTGTAGGTCATGCTTAAAAGAGAGAGGGGTAAACCACAATTCTGGGTTTGGATGACATGCTAAGCCATACCTTGGCTTAGCTGCAACACTCCACTGACATCAAAAGCACAAGGAGATACCAAGACGCTGTGATCTCCTTCCTTGGGTGCATTTGTACATTTGCACTAGAGATTTTACTTTCTTGGACTCCGTGATCACTGCAGATGGTGACAGCAGTCACGAAATTAAAAGATGCCTGCTTCTTTGGAGAAAAGCGATGACAAACCTAGACAGCATCTTAAAAAGCAGAGACATCACCTTGCCAACAAAGGTCTGTATAGTTAAAGCTATGGTTTTCCCAATATGATGTATGGAATATGTATGGAAGTGAGAGCTGGACCATAAAGAAGGCTGATCACCAAAGAATTGATGCTTTTGAATTATGGTGCTGGAGGAGACTCTTGAGAGTCCCATGGACTGCAAGAAGATCAAACCTATCCATTATTAAGGAAATCAGCCCTGAGTGCTCACTGGAAGGACAGATCGTGAAGCTGAGGCTCCAATACTTTGGCCACCTCATGAGAAGAGAAGGCTCCCTGGAAAAGACCCTGATGTTGGGAAAGATGGAGGGCACAAGGAGAAGGGGACGACAGTTGGACAGTGTTCTCGAAGCTACTAACATGAGTTTGACCAAACTGCGGGAGGCAGTGGAAGACAGGAGTGCCTGGTGTGCTCTGGCCCATGGGGTCATGAAGAGTCAGACATGACTAAATGACTAAACAACATTGTTTGGTTTAGGGTGGCGTACAAACACAACCAGTGCATTCATCTGCAAAATATGAATTTTGCATGCATTTTTATGTCAATGTTTCCTTTCGCCTGCACTTTTTGCAGGCCAAAACTATCACAACCTCTGGAGGGGTGTGTATTCATGGAATTGTGTTCCAATCTCCAAGCAAGTTGAGGAGTTTTGGATCAAGTCCATCTGCTGCAAAAAGGGAGATGAACAAGTTCTGCCCCGCAGCCCTAGCTCAAATGAGGCTTTCCATCCCTGTGGTGATCAGTTGTAACAGTGGCTGTTAGAGTCACTCAGAGGCTTCTGAACCCATGATGGCTGGTTCACAGACAGTTGTATAAACTGGAGCCATAATAATAATAATAATACTTTATTATTTATACCCCACCAACCTGGCTGGGTTTCCCCAGCTACTCTCAGTGGCTCCCAACAGAATAATAATAAAGCAATAAAACACCAAACATTAAAAACTTCCCTGAACAGGGCTGCCTTCAGATGTCTTCTAAATGTTACATAGTTGTTGATCTCTTTGACAGCTGATGGGAGGGCGTTCCACAGGGTGGGCGTCACCACTGAGAAGGCCCTCTGCCTGGTTCCCTGTAGCTTCACTTCTCACAGTGAAGGAACCACCAGAAGGCCCTCAGAGCTGGACCTCAGTGTCCAGGCTGAATGATGGGGGTGGAGATGCTCCTTCAGGTATACTGAGCTGAGGCTGTTTAGGGCTTTAAAGGTCAGCACCAACACTTTGAATTGTGCTCGGAAACGTACTGGGAGCCAATGAAGGTCTTTCAGAACTGGTCTTCTACTGTCTCAGCGGCCTCTCCCAGTCACCAGTCTAGCTGCCGTGTTCTGGATTAGCTGCATCAGAAGGGTGGGGTCAAGCCCTGGGTTCTGAACAAATACAACATTCCAGCGGCAGATCTGCATAACAAAAGTCTCACAAGCTGGTTTCTAAAAAGACAAAAACTACTTTTGGAAGGTGTGGGTCTGATTACTGCTTGTTTGCTTTAATGGCACCCAGCCAGTCTAAGCTGAGGGTTTCTGTAGTGATGAGGCAATCAGCAGAGTAAGCTTGCTGTAAAGGCTTTCCTCCCTTCCTCTCTACCATAATGTTTTATAGTGCTGGCCTAATGCCAGGTGCCAACTTGTTGATCTATTGTGCAGTTGTTTGCAGCCAGATGCAGGCAGCAAATAAAGCATCACAATGGCTGGCGTTTGAAAGGCAAACAATTGCTTTAAATTCTGATTCCTCCCTGTCACTTTGGGGTAATATGAACAACATTAACATCTTGGCAGATAGCTTGACAACTGGATTTTCATGAGACTCCAAGGGCCAGGCTCCCAGCTTGGGAAGATTGACAGATCCATTGAAGTCAATGAACTGTAGTGATTTACATCGGTGTCAGCTATGAGGAAACAAGTAGTTCAATATGGCATCAGCCTAAACCTAGATACACTATTTTGCTGCTGAGATGACAGGCATCTTATCCCCTCTCTGGGCACAAAAGGACAGGGCTAAACCCTGGAGATCTAAGAGACAAGAGATCAGAATTGACTCCATGTGGCAACCAAAACTTAAAACTGAAATGTTGGGATTCAGAATGTCAATAGCTATAGAAGTAATTAAAGTGAAGGTTGGGCCAGCTCTGTCTGTGCATCCTTCAGCTTCGGGTATTAGAAACTGCTGTAGAAGCCGGTTTTGAGAGTCTGTCAGTCATATTAGATAATGCACACCAAAATGGAACGACTGGGAAAGTTGTAGGAGAGAAGGATATCCTCAGAGGGCTCCTATTTCTTCAGTGTAATAGTGCCTTATCTTTCTAGCAAATAAAGCTTAAAGAATGAACCTAGGGCACATAATAGTACATTTGCCCACCACAGATGAGTCTGCTCACACCCAGTCGCTTGAAACCTCCTCTCCAGTAGTACCACAGTTTCGCTGTGCCTATGCCAGTTAGCCACTTGTGTTTCAAAGCAGGGTTTGGGACAAGTTTCTTGTGTGAATTGGCACAAAACAGCCTAAAACCAGCAGGCACATACACCTCTCCCATTGCACTATGGTGAACGCAACAGTGAAATGCAGGACCTTCAAGCTAGCTGCCAGAACGCTTCTGGCCAGAGAGTCAGGTAATCAGGAGAATCCAGTAACCTTCCACTTTGTCCTACAGTGGTACCCCGGGTTACAGACACTTCAGGTTACAGACGGTTCAGGTTACAGACTCCGCTAACCTAGAAATAGTACCTCGGGTTAAGAACATTGCTTCAGGATGAGAACAGAAATCGTGTGGCGGCGGTGCAGCGGCAGTGAGAGGCCCCATTAGCTAAAGTGGTGCTTCAGGTTAAGAACAGTTTCAGGTTAAGAACGGATCTCCAGAACGAACTAAGTTCTTAACCCGAGGTAGCATTGTATTTTTAAAGCCATGACCTGCTTTTACTCTTCAGTCACATCAAGATGTTACATTGGTAAACCATTTTGTTGCTCAGTTCCATCTGCCAGCTCTTATTCGCCATAGCTTTCTTGTTGCCTTAGCCCAGGAAAGCGGGAACTGCAGCCCTTCAGATGTTCTTCAATTCCAGTACCCATCAGCCTTGGCCATTGGCCATGTTGGCAGGGGCTGATGAAAGCTGGTGTCCAACAATGTCCAGAAGCCACACAGGCTCCAAAACGCTGTACCTACCTTGCTGTGTCTTCAGTGCTGACTTCTTGAAACCAGGACTACACACAAATCTATGATTCTATCACAAAATGCAATGTTTGCTTCACCCAGGTTGCATACACACCATGCATTTCAAGTGTATTTTCCACACACATCTTAAGAACTGTAATTTGTTAAGGATGACAGGAATTGTAGTTCTGTGAGGGGTAAACTTTAATGTATGGGTATCAGGGACGACACTGAGGAGGAATGGTGGAGACCGCCCACCTCCTCCTGAACCTTCCAGAGAAGAGGAATTGAATTTGTGGTTTGAGGAAGCTCACAGCTCAGATACAGATGAACTGAAGAGTTGGGAGGTGCTGGGAGAAGAGAAGGGGGAGACAGAGACAGAGCAGTCAGCTGACATGTTATCACTGGAGAGCATTTCTGCCCCCCTTTCTCCCAGAACACAGCATGCATTGAAAGTGGAAGAGCAAATGACTCAGAGAAAATTAGAGGGGCTCAGTTGGAGCAACACCATTAACCTAAGAGGCAGCGTACAGAGGCCTCTCACTGTGAATGTTGAATAAAGACTCGTTAAGAGCTTCCTTGTCTACTTCCTTGTCTCCTTCCTTGGCTGTCTGCTGTGAGAGGGGGGAGGATCGGAATTCACTGAACCTGACAATCCACAGGCCTGGTGGATTTGATGGACGGTAGTTTCATCAAAGACACCAAGCAGTACTTCTTTGCAAACTGCCAGATGAACCCCCCAAAAGATATGGCAACGGCCAAACAGTAGAGGTAGGTTTAAGGGTGTGTGGCAAATTAATGGAGGATATGTGAACGGGTATCAGTCATGATGGCTAAGTGGAGCTTCTATGTTCAGAGGAACTTAAAGATATGCCCAGGAAAGGGTGATCATAATTTTCATTCCTGTATTGTGAGCTTCCTAGAGGCATCTGACTACCTACTGTTGATGAAATGCTGGATTGGAAGGGGTTTGGGCTTGATCTAGCAAGTACTTCTTAAGAACATAAGAAGATCCTGCTGGATCAAGCCAGAGGTCCATTTAGTCCGCCATCCTGTTCTCACCGCATCCGACCAGATGCCAATGGGAAGTCTGCCTGCAAGACCCAAGTACACTAGCACTCCCCTGCGGTTTCCAGCAACTGGTATTCAGAACATACTACCGCTAACGTTTCCTGCATATAAGTGAACAAATATGTGCAATCCACAAGGGAGTGGTTTGCTCCCCATCTGTTCTTTTGCCCCAATACATAGGAAGTTCAGAAAATATTTCCTACTGCTGCTTTTGGTGACTGAGCTCATTGGGCAGTTTCACAGAAGCCATTGGAGCCAACATTAGGTAATTCTTTTTGTTCACCACTGATGCAGAAGAACAATGCTCACCATCCATTCAGCAATTCTCCCAAGTCATTCCCTTCCCTCATAGTGCTGGTACCCTTGTTTTTTCTCCAGCATAACCAAGCCTTTAGTTTCTAGGAGTTTGCTTTCCACAGTGCTAGTTCCTGGGTTTAATAGGTTGCACTTACGCCTTAAGCGGATTTAATATTTTACAAGTTTACATTGATTTCCTCCCGCCACTATTTTGCATTTCTGCTACTAAAAATAAAGCCTCTGACATGCTATAATAGGAATTATGTTCTTTTGTTTGAGCCTAATGAAAAGTTAATAACTTGCCACAGGCTGTTTTCTAATTTAACTTGCCCCCCCCCCAAAGCACACATCCCACAACTTCTTCTAACTAAATCTGATTTAACCTCAACTCAATCCTCCATTCCATTTGTCTGTGGGGATGGCAGGCACCTATTAAACCCAGGGTTAAATGGTTTTTCACTTAGGCGATGTGCTCAATTGAATGCGGTGTCTTAATGTCACTGCCTTTGAGAAGTATCACCACAGGTTTCCTATGTGACAGTATCACACTAGGGAGAGCATATTTTGGTTGAGGGCGGAGGAGGGGGGGTGACAATTCTGAAATGTCTGTGACTTGAAACTAGCAGAGTGTAATATGGCAGCGCAGTTGACTCATAACCTCCCGGCCAGAGGCTTATCACCCTGAATTTCTTAAGTGGTTAAACACCCGACGTGGACCATTATTCCAATCTCCAGCATTAGGCCTGTCAAGACAGAGTATTGTTATATTGTCAGCGACAAACTGCATCAGACATTCTAGCTGAGACTTTCAAAGGCACCTAGTGGATTCTAATGAGAAGTGAGTGTTCCCCATAGCTTGTTGGCTGTCTGCACGAGGAATAGCTTTCAAACATTTTTTGCTAGCCTTATTGATGCTCTTCATCTGCCCTCAAAATTCTCCGGAATGTTTTGCCTGAGCAGGAAAACCCAAATTAGCATTGTATTTAGCTTCAGTTATTATTATTGTTGTTGTTGTTGTTAATAATAATAATAAAATAAAATAAAATAAAATAAAATAAAATGTGTATTCTGCCCTTCATCCAAAGATCACAGGGTGGTTGACAACATACGAAAGAGTAATGTTAAAAATGAGTGGCTGTGTTGCTGCTGCCCAAGGAACACTTTGTAATAAGCAAAGAAGCCTGATTTTTTTTTTCCTGGCAAACTCAGCAACAGAAGGAGAGCAGGAATTAGTCCGAATGCCCTTAGTTGCCACAGGTGGGGCAAGGATCTAAGCAGCTCAAGGAAGGAGCTTCAAGGTTCCCCGAAGGCATAGAAACAAAACTGGCTTTGCTGATGTATCTCCCCACACGGGAGATATAAAGTGCACCTTAATGATACATAAGGTTGCTCCTTGGAGAGGCTACCACTTCCCTCTCAGCTGAGGTACTCTGCTTTCATAACTCCTTGGCCATCATAAAACCAGTAAGTGCAGATGCAGCTTTCTTAATCATGCCAGGACACAATGCAAATTGAGAATTTCTGAATTTTGCACATGTTCTAAAGGAAAGGGAGCACTGACAGAAGAGAAATTGGGCAGCCTGCATGGCAACCTAAGGTAGTTTTCTGTTTCTTTGATGAACTTTGGCAGAAACCTTGGAGCCCAAATGATAAACACACTTCCCAACCCTCCTTCCTTCCTCCCTGCCCTCCCTCTTCCATAACTTCCTCCAACTCTTGACATCCCCCAACTCTCCGGAGTAGATTTGGGAAGTGGGACTCAGGGGCACATCAGGGAGAAGAGGACAAGGAAGTTCAATTGCTTGAACACATATTCCATATGTACAATGTCCTTGCTGGATTCAACCCTACCTTACTAGTTTCAGCTGAAGGAGCGTCTCCCCCCCCCCATCGTTCAGCCTGGACACGGAGGTCCAGTTCCGAGGGCCTTCTGCCTGTTCCCTCCCTCCAAGAAGTGAGGTTACAGGGAACCAGGCAGAGGGTCTTCTCAGTGTTTGCACCTGCCCTGTGGAACACCCTCCCATCAGATGTCAAGGAAATAAACAACTATCTGACGTTTAGAAGACACCTGAAGGCAATCCTGTTTAGCGAAATTTTTAATGTTTGATGTTTTATTGTGTTTTTGATATTCTGTTGGGAGCTGCCCAGAGTAGCCAGGGGAACCCAGCCAGGTGGGCAAGGTATAAATATAGTAGTAGTAGTAATTATTATACCCACCCTCCTCTGAATGGTTGCAGCTGTTAGGGATGCGAGGATTTCTCCCTTCCTTTCTTCTTACTATTTCTCTCCCTTGCATCCCACTCCTTCCAAATTCTAATTTAACTTGGATATTTTCTCAAACTTCATGAATTGGAGCATTACCAGTTAGCCTCACCACTCAGTTCCTTTGGTCCATCGCATCCTTTCTCTCTGATGTGCATGTCATGTGATTTTGATTGTGACTGCATCAACTTGCTTTTGAATGCAATGGTTTACGATGCATTTTTTTTTAAAAAAAGTTATGCAAAGCACTTACATCATACCTTTTCCCACAAAGTGAATTCAAGGCTGCTTACATAAGCATGTGTCATGCAATAAGTAAAAATACAATATTAAAATTCAAATAACATCAAATAAAGCATCGGTTATGGAGGTGAACATCATTGTCCCTACAAGGCTCAGAGGAGGAGGAGGAGGAGGAGGAGGAGGAGGAGGAGGAGGAGGAGGAGTTTGGATTTGATATCCTGCTTTATCACTACCCGAAGAAGTCTCAAAGCAGCTAACATTCTCCTTTCCCTTCCTCCTTCACAACAAACACTCCGTGAGGCGAGTGGGGCTGAGAGACTTCAGAGAAGTGTGACTAGCCCAAGGTCACCCAGCAGCTGCATGTGGAGGAGCGGAGACGCGAACCCGGTTCCCCAGATTACGAGACTACTGCTCTTAACCACTACACCACAAGTCAGGCTGAAGTAGGGTAGTGAGTGATTTCGCTTAATAATGCTACTCAGAGGTAAGCACTACTGTGCACCCCTTACTGCCCCCTTGCCTCTTGCATGCAGGCACCTGAGATGCTGAAGGAAGCAGAGGCCACCAACATGTGCTGAGGCAAGGAGTGAGCAAGGAGCAGCAGCAACATTTGGGTAAAGTTGAAGGAGTTGGGCTTTGGAGGACTGGAAGTAGCCAGCAGTAGAAGGGAGGGAGGGAGGGAGGGAGGGAGCAGTTTGGGGGTGAGGACTATGAGATGTAATCAAAGGAGATGTGGCATGAAAGCTGGGAAACCCAATAAAACCATAGTACATCAAACACACACTGCATGGCACAATGCAATGTGTCTTCCCAGTACTGGTGCCTGCCCTGTGGAATGCCCTCCCATCAGATGTCAAGGAAATAAACTGTCTTTTAGAAGACATCTGAAGGCAGCCCTAGGGAAGTTTTTAATGTTGGGTGTTTTATTGTGTTTTTAATATTCTGTTGGGAGCCACCCAGAGTGGCTAGGGAAACCCAGCCAAATGGGTGGGGTATAAATAAATTCTTATCATCATCATCGTTCTAGAAATCCTTTTCGCATTACTGCCAATTAAGAGAAAAGCAGGTGTTACCTCTGAGATATCCAGAATGTGTTCAGATCAGAGAGGACATCTTGTGGTCCCACACTCCAAAATGCAGATGCATCCAAAGTTTGAATCGAGAGTTCAAGTTGTGCAGATGGAGCCTGCCTTTTCTATTTATAACAATGACAATTAGCAGCATCCATGACGCCTCTTTTTCACATTTTGTGCTCTGGCTGATTCTCCAAGTTTATAATCATGGACATCAAACCACTCCTCCGTCTGATTTCAAATGGCCTTAACCGACGGTGAAATTCCAGTGTCAAAGTTGTGCTCTGCATAACGGATTCCATGGCAACCAAGTGGTGTCATAAACACAGCATTCTGCCTTTACCTGGAGATCAAGGAGAAGGCGACCGTGGGCCATAAAGGGGGGAATGGGCCTTTTAAAACCCTATACTTCAAGCGTGACTAACAGGAACACTTAACTATGCTGAATGCTTTCTCCTTTGTGTGAATGTTCTCTTCTCAAGGTTGCTCAAGTGTTCCTGTTAATACAATTGGTTGCATTTTGAATGGCCAGACATCTTCCTAATATGTGTGTGAGAGCATGCTCCAACAGGTATATTTTATGCACAAGAGATTTTCCCCACTGAGCCCAAAACTATTCATGTCTGTTTAGCAGGAGCCTCCACTTAGTTCAAGGGGATTTGCTCTCAAGTGAGATTGCTTAAGATTGGGGCTTTCATGTAAAATGGCATCTACCTGGGTCAATGCCTATACAAATATGAACAAAACTTATGAGCCACCCCCCTCCTTTGCAGCAGGAGGTCCATATGAGCAGAATCTGCTCACGGACGTGGCATTTAAGGTCCTACAGATGTGGGTTGCACACAAAAACCCAAGACTCACTCTCATATTGTACAACCTAGATTCAGGGGCATGTATATATATATTTCAATCTGACAGAACATATAAATTAGGAGAATCCTGAACATGTTTTCACTTTTCACATACCAGTCTTTTTGTTAAATACTTACATTTACTAGGTAAAACAAGGGGTCGGGGGGGGGAATCAGAACCTCTCAGATGGGTGCCATTGTGGGCCGGTGCTCCCACTGCCAGTTACATATTTCTGAGAAGCCCAAAACAAACATTTCAAGTCAAGACAGAAGCTTGCCAGTGTGTGCGAGTCTACACATTCTTTTAGATCTAAGACTCTAGCTAGCTCTAAGACTCTAGCTACCAAAAACAGAGACTGAAAAGACACAACTTAAGAACTACCACCCTATATCATTACTTAATGTGGATTACAAAATTTTTGCAGATATTTTGGCGAAGAGATTTAAAAAAGTGTTGATGGAAGAGATTCACAAAGACCAAGCGGGCTTTCTCCCAGGAAGACATTTGTCTGACAATTTGAGGAATATAATTGATATCTTGGAAAAATTAGAAGTGAATATAAATACTAAAGCAGTGTTGATATTTGTAGACACGGAGAAAGCCTTTGACAATATTTCTTGGAATTTTATGAAGAAGAATCTACAGGGTATGGGGGTAGGCCAAGGTTTTGAGAATGGTATAAGTGCAATTTATTCAGAACAAAAGGCTAAACTAATTGTAAATAATGTTGTGACGGAAGAACTTAAAATTGAAAAAGGGACACGATAAGGTTGCCCAATTTCCCCACTTCTTTTTATTTCGGTCCTGGAGGTTTTGCTGAATATGATTAGAAGGGACCAGTTGGTCAAAGGTATACAGGTCGGAACTAAACAGTACAAATTGAGAGCATTTGCAGATGACTTAGTATTGACGTTACAGGAGCCAGAATCTAGTACTAAAAGGGTTTTAGAACTGATTCAAGAATTTGGTCAAGTGGCAGGATTTAAATTGAATAAGTCAAAAACCAAGGTTTTAGAGAAAAATTTAACACCGATTGAAAGAGAGAGGTTTCAGAATGAGACAGGTTTAACAGTGGTTAAGAAAGTTAAATATTTGGGGATTAACATGACAGCAAAAAATGGGAACTTATTTAAAGATAACTATGAAAAATGCTGGTCTGAAGTGAAAAAAGATTTAGAAATTTGGTCAAATTTGAAGCTTTCACTGCTGGGCCGTATTGCTGCGATAAAAATGAATGTATTGCCTAGAATGTTGTTTTTGTTCCAAACTTTGCAGATTGTGGACAAAATGGATTGTCTCAAGAGGTGGCAGAAAGATATTTCTAAATTTGTCTGGCAGGGCAAGAAGCCTAGAATAAAATTTAAAATACTAACAGATGCAAAGGAAAGAGGTGGATTTGCCCTGCCAGACCTCAAACTTTACTATGAATCAGCAGCCTTTTGCTGGTTGAAAGAATGGCTACTTCTTGAAAACACTGACATTTTGGACTTGGAAGGTTTTAATAATGTATTTGGATGGCATGCATATTTATGGTATGATAAGGTCAAAGCACATAAAGCATTTAGAAACCACATTGTCAGGAAAGCGCTATTTAATGTTTGGTTAAGATATAAGGATTTGTTAGAAAATAAAACCCCAAGGTGGCTGTCACCAATGGAAGCGAAAGCCTTGAAAAGGTCAATATGGAGGTCAAATGGCCGAAATATTGGGAAATTTTGGAACAAGACGGAGATAGATTGAAATTGCAGAGTTTTGAAAAACTAAAAAACAAAGTGCGAGACTGGCTTCATTATTATCAGATAATGGAGGCATTTAAATTGGACAGGAAAATTGGCTTCCAGGTGGAAAGATCCAAATTAGAAACAGAATTGTTGGAACCCAAAACTAAGAATTTGTCAAGAATGTTCAACTTGCTGCTGAAATGGAATACTCAGGATGAAACGGTAAAATCGGCTATGATTAAATGGGCACAGGACGTTGGACATAATATTATGTTTGCTGACTGGGAACAGTTATGGACCACAGGTATGAAATTTACGGCATGTAATGCCTTAAGAGAGAATATTATGAAAATGATATACCGGTGGTACATAACCCCAGTCAAGCTTGCAAAAATCTATCACTTGCCCGATAACAAATGTTGGAAATGTAAAGAAACTGAAGGTACATTTTTCACCTTTGGTGGACGTGCCCAAAGATTAAGGCTTTCTGGGAAATGATATATAATGAATTAAAAAAGGTATTTAAGTATACCTTCCCTAAGAAACCAGAGGCCTTCCTCCTGGGCATAGTCGGCCAAATGGTGGTAAAGAAGGATAGAATTTTCTTTATGTATGCAACAACAGCAGCAAGAATACTCATTGCAAAGTATTGGAAGACACAAGAACTTCCCACGCTGGAGGAATGGCAGATGAAACTGATGGACTATATGGAATTGGCGGAAATGACTGGTAGAATCCGTGACCAGGGAGAAGAGTCGATGGAGGAAGATTGGAAGAAATTCAAAGACTATCTTCAGAAACACTGTAAAATTAAGGAATGTTAGAGTGATGTTGGACTGAAAACAAGTGGTTTCCAGCTGTACAGGTTAAAGTTAATGATAGACTAAGATTAAAGATTAAGATTAAAGATGTTTAAAGAAATGGAAATTTGATAGTAAGAGGGAAAATTTTAACGTTATATGATACTAAGACCAAGGACTAGGTTTAAAGAAGTTGAAGTTATATATTTTAATATTTTATCAAACTAAAGATTGGGATTTAAAAAGTGGAAAAGAAACTGCTGGACAAACAATTTGGTTTGGAATACAAAAGAGGGAGGTATGAGGAAGTCCAGAAAACAAGTAACTTAAAAATGGAAATGGAAAAGAGATATTGTTTTTAATTGTTATGTGTGTTTTTTTTTGTTTTTTTGTTAAATTTTGTGGTTTTTTTTGTGTGTGTTGTTGTTATATGTATTGCGTATGTTTTTTTCCTCTTTCTTTGTTGTTTAAAATCTTAATAAAAATTATTTAAAAAAAAAAAAGACTCTAGCTAGCTCCTAGCTGCTCCAAGCCACAAGTGGTCAAGCTACAAGGGAGGGCCAATTTGTATTTCCTTTTCTTCAATCCATCTCCCATGTAGTAGTGTCAGTCTTTAAGCTTTCCAGCCAGGCTTCTAGCATTGCACATGACCATGTTTGCATGAGGGCCCTTCCAAGGTGCCCTAGCCATCTGCCTAAATCTAAGAATGAGAGAGGCGAGCGCACATTTATTTGACCTGCACCAGAACCAGGGGTGATGTCTGACTGAGGAGGTAAAATGGAGACTGCCCCCCCCTCCTGCACTTCCCGGAGAAGATAGATTTAGAACAGTGGTTTGCAGAAGGTCATAGTTCAGAGACTGCAGAGGGGAGAAGATGAGAAATATTAGGAGAGGAGCAGGAGGAAGAAGAAGCACCAGGGGAGAGACAGCTGACAGATTCAGTGTCTCTTGAAAGCATTCCTGACCGCCCTCTCCCAGGTCCCGGCATGCACTGAGAGTAGGAGAACAGAAAGCTCAGAGGCAGAAAGCTCAGATCAGCCAGTATAGGGATGATGTATAATAGGAGAGACGGAGGGGGTGGGACTTTACTCAGAGCAACGCCATTATCCAAAAGGCGACATCATACATCTCTTTCTGTTAATATTGAATAAAATACCATGGTAATAATTTCTTGTTTTCCCATTTCTGGCTGCCAGCCATGAGGGAGGGGGGGGGTCAGATTCCCTGAAGCCTGACAGGTGACCATCAAGCCAGCTAGGGAGACAGCTTGCTGTGGTTTTTAGCACCTCCATGGGCTGTTGTCAAACCAGCATCTGTTCAGGACTGCCCCATGTTGACCAGTGTCTTAGTGTAACAACATAATGGTGAGGTCCAGCACCTATTTTTCTTGGGGGGGGGGGGATAATGTAATTCGCACTTCCTAGAACAGTGTGTGAAATATATGCAGCTCTCCTTTGAAATTTGCACTTCTCTGAATTTTGCAATTCAATTCTCCGACAAAATAATGTGCACGAATAGTGAATGCATAAATCAGGTCATATGACTTCGGGGTGAGGCACATTAAAAGCTGGATCAGCTGAAAGGGTGGTTTCCGGTTGCCTGCAAAGCGCTCTGCAAAACAGGGCTTTCAAAGGGGATGTTGAAGGTGTCTTCGGCCTTTCCATGCACTGTCTTGCCCAGCACACTTGCACATGCGCACAGGGTATCTGAAATGTGCACACTTCAGTTTAACCGCAGCTCATGCTTTCAAGTTGGATGAAAGCTAGTTTGAGAGGGAAATGCAACAGACAGCAGTATTTCTCATGAAACTACAGGATACAGTTTGATTGTGGCTAACATCATGTGCACTCAGTGTTGAGAGCAATAAATGTGTACACAGCCTCAGACTTATTGGCTTAAAATAA